GATCATTTTGTGAACAGTTGTCCTGTGGCAAAAAAACAAAGGGAAATTAGTGAAAGAAAAGCAAGAAATTTTGAAAAAATATAGACAATTATATAAAAGACAAAGGTCACAATTATATAAATCACTGATGGGAGGAATTAACATGGGAACAAGTTACTTAGATGCTGTTAAAAATAATATAAATAGAAAAATTAAAAATAATATAATGGAAAAGAATGATACAACAAATGAAAATATTATGAATATGTTATTAGAAATTCAGTAAGATATAAAAGAAATCAAGGAACAGGTGAAAGATATAGATGAAAGATTGGAATTAGTGGAAATTCATTGTGCTTATGAAATATTAAATGATGAAGAAGTAAAAGAAATGGATATCAGTGATAATGAAAATGACGAAATGAATGAAAAAGAAAAATCCAAGGCACAAACAACTAATGATAAAAAAGAGGAGAAAGAAATGGAGAAAACAATAAATTATATTTATGAAACAATTAAAGCTCTGTTAGAAGAAAATAAAACAACTTTAGCACGATTAAATGAAGTGGAAAAGTATATTGAAAAAAATAATGAACAAGGAGAAGATAAAACCCTAATTTAAGGAACATAATTTTTTAAAAAAAATATTATATTATGATGAACAATCATAAAAATATAAATATTAATAATAATAATATAATAGAAAATGAACAAAATACTAATATAATTAATAACATTAATATTAAAAACAATAATAACAATCTTTTTTTAAATAATAATAATAATTTAGAAAATATTAAAAAAAATTCAAAAAAAAATTTTAAAAATGAAGATAAAATTAAAAACATAAATAAAACTAAAAATATAAATAATGGGCTAATAAATAGTAACAATTATATATTAAATATGAATCAAAATAATGATAGTATCATAATAGATAAGAATATAAATTAGAATGATCTAAAAACTTTAAAAATAGCTACTCAAAATATAAGAGGAATAACAAACACTATAAAACAAATAAATTGGTTGAAATTCTGTGAAGATAAAGACTTAGATATAATTGGACTAACAGAAACCTGGGCAAAAGATGAAAATTGTAAATATATATTCAAAAATGATACAATAAAAGAAATACAAAAGAAAGATAAAAATGTCAATGAATACAAATATTTTTGGACAAATGGACAACAGACAAATAGTTCAGGAGTCAGAATCATGATAAAAAAAACATGGGCAAAATATGTTTATAAGATAGATAAATATGAAGGCAATGTGATCTCTATAAAATTGTCATTCAAAAAAAAAAAAAATTACAAATAATAATAGTATATTATCCAACAAGTGCAAACCAAAAGAAGCTAAGAACTCATGTAACAAAATGAATAATACAAGAATTAAACAATTATATAATTAAGGACAAGCACTATGCAATAGTGATGGGAGATTTTAATGCCACATTTAATCTTAAAATTGATAGGTTTAATATTAACATTAATGCAAGAAATAGATCAGATAAACCTGAAAGTCAAATATTGAGATTTTTAGATAATAACAGGTTTAAAGATACTTTTAGAACATATAAAGATATCACAGAAAATGAAAATATGC